CACCTGGAATTTCGACGCTTCTTCTTTTCTTTTTCTTATCGCCACGGACATCCCGAGTTGTAACTTCGTTTACGTAATAGTTATAATACTCTTTCGTGCAACCTTCAACCTTTTCCCGAAAAGGATTCAACGTGAGAGAGGTTCGGTGATTCGTGACCAACCGAGATGAGACTCGGCGGGCATACATATTCCAACCCGCCTCGTTGCGTCACTGAATTTTAATTAGAATAACGATACTGAATATAAATTACCGAGGACGCTATTTTTTCTCTCGAAATTTGGATACCTTGCGATTTCTTTTCGTTACAATGTCTTTTATTTGAAACAATTTTATTCCGTATTAATTTGCAGCAGACGAATTTCCTTTTGATTTAGCCAATCTTTGAATGGAATAGGAGAAATGTGGTTTCTCTCAGAAGCGAAATCAGTTCCTTGGATATCTTGCGAATTCTTCAATACGAAGTAATTTTATTGTGATTTATTTTTTAATTCGTTGAATCTTTCTAATGACATGAAAGAAAAGTGAAACGTCGTATATACATATATCGACACTTGGGATACCTTAAAATTTCTTCAATTCGAAACAATTTCATCCTACCTTCATTTTTAACAAACGAATTTCTTTTTTCTAATTCCTTAAAATCTTTGAACGAAACAGAAGGAAAGCGGTTTCACTAAAAAGTGAAACATCGCACATCAATACCTACAAACCATAAATGCAAAGACAACATTATTCCAGCCTTATTTCCAACGAATTTCTTTTTTCTAATTCCTTAAAATCTTTGAACGAAACAGAAGGAAAGCGATTTCACTAAAAAGTGAAACATCGTACATCAATACCTACAAACCATAAACAGAAAGACAAAAGGCTGTTTCCCATAACGCGAAGAAAAGCGTTCGACCCGTAAATTCCGACGAAAAGAAGAAAACGCTTCCCACAGTGTATACACACACACACGAGTAAAAAGTTTTCTCCGATTTTCCTGCACGTAGTGCATGACAAAACGGCCAGTCGCTGAATGTCATTTGTGTCCTCGCCGTAAGCGCTATCGCGCAGCGAGCAACCAGGAGTGAACGATACCTTTTGCCCGTTCCCGATGGAACAGCAGCGCAGATCTTTGTCATGGTAATTAGCAAAAGTACCAGGGACCTTTTGTCGTGCTCGAGACCGACAATAGTCGGTTTTTTCACCGCGTTCCACCACGGTTTCGCGATTCCGTTACACGCGTTTACTACGTGAGTGGGCAAACACAAGTGCAGAATTGTAGCGGCGCGTTGCACGGCTAGAGAAACTTTCTCCGTGCTTCTTTTCGCGCGTCGCGACATTTGACAGCCGGCGTCGTTCTCTTTAATTCATCGACACGAGTCACGAGATAAGCGCACTTCTATTTGCGGAACGTACGAACTGAATTTCTCTCGATTGTACTCGAATTTGATCTTTCCGCAGAAGCTCGCGCGTGTGCAGAATGTCGAAGAAAGAGGTTGGGGTCGTAGCGAGTAAGAAATGTCCTATTAACCTTCGTGACAGTAAATCAAATCTGTCCGGGAGAGTAATTTGCTGGCTTCTGCTTCGATAATATTCGTAATTTATGTATACTCGTTTATTTGTCAAAGGAGGTGGGCAAATAACGCGCCTCGGTGACGACTAATTGTATAAAAACACCGGCGACAGTAAGGGAATCTGACGTAATTGCTAGTACATTTTCCCGGCGTGAAATGATACTTCATTAGTCATCGCGGGGATATTTGCTGGAAACTTCGTAACGATGGTAGCAGAGTTCCTTGATTAACCCATTGGGAACGAAGTATTGTGTGAAGTATCGAGAGTGAAAGCTCAATTTCCTTTTATCACTTAAACTAAATCTGTAACGATGTGTCTTAGTTAATTACAGAGTTGATCCGCTTTTTTTTTTACGAAATGTCGTTCATTATACTTCAGAGTTGCATACTGTTGATTCCATGCATTTTCAATTACTATGAATAAAAAAGAGGATACTCTGAATATTCATATTCACATTCGTAATATTTAAAGAATTATGAAAATTGTCAATGTTCATAATATTTTCAGTACCACGAATATTTCTGCCTGCAGAGCATATTTATGACACACTGTGTTCAATGGTTGGTCCTTAATATCAAAAACTGTTCGTTTCTTCGCTATCTATTTTTATCGACTAAAACTGTCTAAATTCGTTAATTACGTTCATCGTCCTCAAAAAGACCCCAACTCAATCGATTCACTGAAAGACAAACGCCGACGATGTCATCACGCGAAACTGGAACGCGAACCGCTTAATTATGTTAATCAGAGTTAATATACACCTGTCCCAGTGAAGGCGCTCCTTTTCGATCTTCCTTTTACCAGCCGCCATATTGGTTCACGAGACGCGCGAGTTACGACAAACCCTGATGGATGTGTTCTTCGATGTTCCTTTCTTCGTGTAATAAGCCCGAGCATTAGCGGTACGCGAACGCTGGATAATTAGAAAGCCGAAGAGACGTTGCTCGCACTTTATTAGTACCAAAGACACGTCCCCCTTGATTATGCAACGCGATATTTTTGCACGTATCACAAACGTGCGCCCCCGTCAAAGAGATTGAAACTAACTGGAGATGAATCTGTCTGTGTTAATGCGCTGTGGAAGGACGTTTTCACCGAGGAAACATCAATTGACCGATGATGTCATCGGTTTTATTATTATCCACACGTTTTAAACGAATCTTTTCCTATAGAACTGTGCAAATTGTATAGACATTGTTGGAAATTTGTCGTCGTCAGGTCGGTTTAGACATTCGTACAGTTCAGTAGTCAGAAGGAATTGCAACGAGGTGCAATTCTTGCGACACAATTTTGCACTTCGAGCCGCGCGAATCGCTGACCCATAGGCAACTGTCGTCACATTGGTGGCCCCTCTTCTGAATGTATAACTTGCAACTTTCTCTAGGTGTAAATAAATGGTCGACGAGAGAAGATGCTGGAAGGATGTGGTTAATTGTTTGCACTATTCCTCGCGGCGAGTGTCTCGTAAAAATTGCTGCGGCATTAATCACGGGATATTCTCATTAACCGGGACATAATTACCTTTAAAGCGTGGCAGTTGCATAACGAAGACTAATGCGACATTATAAATCAGTCGCGAGGCGAAGCGTTGTTTTAACAGGTAATAACAATGAAATTATTCATCGCGCTCCTTAGGTAGAAGCTGTCTGTCATGAGTGACATGGTAACCTTCTGTTCGTTCTCGATGGAACGAGTCCTGTTCCAACTAAACGCTTCCTACCTGTTGTCCCCTTCTTTTACATAATAACAGTATTGTACGCGAAGCTTTCCTCAGCCGTGGAGAGATACAGAGGTTGAGGAGGCACGATTTCGTAACTGTAGAAGCACGAGGCAACGGTTCGAGAAGGTGGCTTTCATATTTAAAGCTGCAGTTTCAACGTGTCTGGCTGATTGAAGATATTGCGAGAAAAGAGAATATCGTTGTTGGTTTATAGATAGCAGAGAAAAGGACTTCTCGAAGATTCATCAGGGATTCTGCGTTCGAATCTTCTTCGAAGTCAAGGATTGGGCACATCTGTGCAAGGTGTGAAAAAAGACCATCGATGAAAGCGGGAGATGTAAAAATGTTCTCAAGAAAGTGTAACCTTGCGATCTGTATCGGCGTTTGTTCCGCAGATAGAAACGTCGTGACACCACTTATACATCAGAAGCCTTTCACATACTGGCGAAAGACACCGGTGGAGAATATTCTTCTCTCCCCATGGCCTGACGCGATCCTCCTATATAAATTATACGCCTAAAGGTCACTGGACGTTTCTTCGAGCCAGAACCATCATTCGTAGCCGCGTTCACGATGTCGCAAACGGATAAGACGGTTTTAATTCCTGGACAACCGGAGGCTTCCCACCGATTCAGCTGCGTCTGATTTATGAAGCTCGTTCAGCCGGAGAGAGATAATTACGCCTGACGGTTGCATTATTACAGTCCGTTTAATTCGAGGCGTCCAAACGATAAAACACCCTCCGAACGATGTAAAATCTCGCGGTCAAGTCGATACCGCGGTGTTCGCGTGGGACGCTCGTTGTGTATTGAATACGTATGGTTTCAGCGTGAAACTAATTAGCGGCAGGAAGAAGATAAAAGTTGCAACACGAATTAATATGACGAAGTTAGACGGTGCACGTGTGAAACATAACGCGCGATGGTAGATCAAATAGAGAAGTAGAAAGTATCGTGCTTCGATGAGATATATTGCGAAATGTTTCGGAGAGAAGGAAGAGAAAAAAAAATGGTTTGATGAATATTGATATAAGACTGGCGAAACCGCGTTCGTTTTGAAGATTAATTATCTGATGATCAATGAAAGTACCGTACGATGTAATTCGCACGGACGAACCTTTCACGATCAGCGGTGCATCATACGAGACTGTTGATGGTCGAGACGAATTATGTAAGATGTTCTTAGGCGAGGCGTGAGATAATCCCACGGAGACGATCTTCGATATATTATGATCGATTACACGGTGATCCGTGACCTAATATATTTCGAATTTATCGCGTTCAGTGATCAAGGTCATTGTCACACCTTTGTATTTCTGAATGAAATTTACGCGTGTGGATAAAGGATGTTTTGGTTAAGGTAGAGGATAGCGATAGCGTTTAATTGTTAATGTGGGCGTAATGTAAGATGTACTTTCTTTTTCAGCGAATCTTGTGGATTGCCACAGTAGTGGCAGTACTCTTCGCACACAATGCGCAAGCATCGAGTGAGAAGAGCAAAAGAGCGATATTAGGCAATGGAGGTTACGCATATGAGCCGCCAAATGAAATATTCCCTTTCCCAACGAGGTAAGAGATTGTTAAATTTCGTATTATTTATTCGGATTATTTACGTCAGAATTAAAAATCGAAGAAAATATGTTATTTTAATAGGGCACCTCCACCGAGACCAACGCCAGTGAATCCTCCACGAGAAAATACGGGATACCATTATGAAACACCTAGCCATCCATTCCCATTACCGACTACTCGGCCACCGCAACCACCACCAGGGCCTACAACAAGGTTTCCACCTACACCTCCACGTACACCAGATTACTCGTATCCCACTCCATTCCATACAACACCACCACCGCGGTAAGCATTGATTATTGATCAAATAAAACAATTGTGAGATCATTTTTGTCGCTGTTTTTAGCTAAATACTATACTTTTCTTATAGACCACCTCCAGTGACATTTTCGCGGGGAACTACGGGGTACAGTTACTCAACACCTACTAACCCATTCACATACCCGACACTTCGGCCAGAGCATACAACACCAAGGCCAGAGACCTTCCCAACAAGACAACCACCTACACCTCCACGCACACCAGATTACTCGTATCCCACTCCATTCCATACAACACCACCACCGCGGTAAGCATTGATTATTGATCAAATAAAACAATTGTGAAATCATTTTTGTCGCTGTTTTTAGCTAAATACTATATTTTTCTTATAGACCACCACCAGTGACATTTTCGCGAGGAACTACGGGGTACAGTTACTCAACACCTACTAACCCATTCACATACCCGACACTTCGGCCAGAGCATACAACACCAAGGCCAGACACCTTCCCAACAAGACAACCACCTACACCTCCACGCACACCGACTTACACGAATACTGCCCCACCGTATCAAACTTCACCAACAAGGTAAGAATACTTCGATATTCAATTAAAAGAATAATGGATTTACTTATATGAATGATTTCTAATAACGAAAATATAAATTTAAAGGTCTTTTGGCTATAATTGTTAGGTATAAATATATGTCTTCTACAGACCACATCCACCGGGACCACCAGGATACAGTTATCCAGTACCACCAAGACCATTTACCGAGCCAACATATCCACCACCACGGCCTCCGACCCCGCCACCGTACGTGCCGCCTTCTCCACCGAGAACACCACCACCATACGTACCACCATCTCCTCCACAGCCACCTAGACCACCAGTTACACCACCATATATACCTCCTTCTCCACCTCAACCACCGAGAACACCGCCACCACTCCCACCAAGGCCACCAACTCCGCCACCATATATTCCTCCTTCTCCTCCACAGCCACCTAGACCACCAGTTACACCACCATATATACCTCCTTCTCCACCTCAACCACCGCGAACACCGCCACCACCTCCACCAAGGCCACCAACACCACCACCATACGTACCACCATCTCCTCCACAGCCACCTAGACCACCAGTTACACCACCATATATACCTCCTTCTCCACCTCAACCACCGCGAACACCGCCACCACCTCCACCAAGGCCACCAACACCACCACCATACGTACCACCATCTCCTCCACAGCCACCTAGACCACCAGTTACACCACCATATATACCTCCTTCTCCACCTCAACCACCGCGAACACCGCCACCACCTCCACCAAGGCCACCAACACCACCACCATACGTACCACCATCTCCTCCACAGCCACCTAGACCACCAGTTACACCACCATATATACCTCCTTCTCCACCTCAACCACCGAGAACACCGCCACCACTCCCACCAAGGCCACCAACTCCGCCACCATATATTCCTCCTTCTCCTCCACAACCCCCAAGGCCTCCAACTCCGCCACCGTACATTCCTCCTTCCCCACCGCAACCCCCTAGACCACCAGTTACTCCACCGTATATACCTCCTTCTCCACCTCAACCACCGAGAACACCGCCACCACTCCCACCAAGGCCACCAACTCCACCACCGTATATACCTCCATCTCCACCACAACCACCTAGGCCACCAACTCCACCACCATACGTTCCTCCTTCCCCACCGCAACCACCAAGGCCTCCAACTCCGCCACCATACATTCCTCCTTCCCCACCGCAACCACCAAGGCCGCCAACTCCGCCACCATATATTCCTCCTTCTCCTCCACAACCACCAAGGCCTCCAACTCCGCCACCGTACATTCCTCCTTCCCCACCGCAACCCCCTAGACCACCAGTTACTCCACCGTATATACCTCCTTCTCCACCTCAACCACCGAGAACAACGCCGCCACCTCCACCAAGGCCACCAACACCACCACCATACGTACCACCATCTCCACCGCAACCACCTAGGCCTCCAGTTACCCCACCATATATACCTCCTTCACCACCACAACCACCTAGGCCACCAACTCCGCCACCATATTTACCTCCTTCTCCTCCACAACCACCTAGGCCACCGACTCTACCACCATATATACCTCCTTCTCCACCTCAACCACCGCGAACACCGCCACCACCTCCACCAAGGCCACCAACTCCACCACCGTACATACCACCATCTCCACCACAACCACCAAGGCCACCAACTCCACCACCGTACTTACCTCCTTCTCCGCCACAACCACCTAGGCCACCGACTCTACCACCATATATACCTCCTTCTCCACCTCAACCACCGCGAACACCGCCACCACCTCCACCAAGGCCACCAACACCACCACCATACGTACCTCCATCTCCACCGCAACCACCTAGGCCTCCAGTTACCCCACCATATATACCTCCTTCACCACCACAACCACCAAGGCCACCAACTCCACCACCGTACTTGCCTCCTTCTCCACCTCAACCACCGAGAACACCGGCACCATTTCCACCAAGGCCACCAACTCCCCCGCCGTACTTACCCCCGTCTCCGCCGCAACCACCCAGACCGCCAACTCCACCACCATACATACCACCATCTCCGCCACAACCTCCAAGGCCACCAATTCCACCGCAACCACCTAGGCCACCAACTCCACCGCCGTACATACCTCCTTCCTCACGCCAACCACCTGGGCCACCAACTCCACCGCAACCACCAAGGCCTCCAACTCCACCACCATACATACCTCCTTCCCCTCCACAACCACCAAGGTCTCCGGTTACCCCACCGTATATACCTCCTTCTCCACCTCAACCACCAAGACCTCCAACTCCACCACCATACATTCCTCCTTCCCCTCCGCAACCCCCTAGACCACCAGTTACCCCACCGTATTTACCTCCATCTCCACCACAACCACCGAGGACACCGCCTCCTCCACCACAAAGGCCACCAACCCGTCCACCATACATACCTCCAAGTAGACCATCAACTCATGGAGACACTTATCTCCCACCCTTCTCAAGCACACCACTACCTCCAACAACACGAACTCCTCCAACCACATATATACCTCCACGAACTACTCAGAGACCAACCACCTACGTACCGCCAACAGTTACATTTAGACCTTC